CTGTTTGGGTTGCACAGGACTTTCTGGTGGCCCTGGGTGGGTGCTGCCATTCGTGGGCTCTTAGCCGCTCACCCCTGCCCTCTCCGCGACTCTAGGATGGGCTCCAGCTCCCTGGTGCAGCAGGAGTACCGCAAATGTCTGGAGAGGGATTTCCGAAGGGGCCACTCTGGAGTCTGCACTGACCTGGCCCTGAGGAAGTTGCTGCGGCAGCACCTCCTGGCGGATCCGGAGCTGCACTATGCCCTGCGGAACGATGTCTTTGCCACGCTCGCCAGCAGCCTACGGGGATGGGAGGCCCTGCCCTTGGCACTCAGGGGGCTGGCCAGGGCCTTTGAGGTCCTTGAGCTGGCAGCTGTCAATCTGCACCTCCTCCCTTGGCGCAAGGAGTTCAGCACAATCAAGGTGAGCATTGGTGTGTGGTCAGGGTGCCGCCTGGCTGCACCGGTATCTCTCCTGGGCGTGCTGGATAGAGACAGGGAGCTGCTGAAACAGGGTGCGGGGCCATGCCGAGCACATCACTGAAGAGAGAGAGGGTCACTCCAGGAACTTCAGCATAGATTCCCTGGGGTGCAAATTCCCTAGGGGGATAGAATATTGGGGCCAGTCCCTCGTGTAGCGGATGATTACACTCGTGCCCAGACAGATCTGGGATTTGTTAGAGACCCACCCCCGATCTAACCCCAGGACGGGGAGTCAGGAATGATCCCTCCGGCAGCAGCATAGGTGTGTGTTGGGCCTTTAGACAAAGGGATCCCACCACGATGGAAACCCCGCCTGTGCCTGTATGGCCCCGAGTGGCTAGAACACCAAGGGGCAGAGGTACTTCGTCTCTGGGCAGCGTCACTGATTGTGTGGCCATCACACAGTCTCGGGTTCAAGGATCTTAGCAACGTGATTGGGATAGTCACAGAAATGGGCTGGGGGGTCAGGGCTGTGTACGACCTGGGACCAGCTAGTCCCTTGATGCAGCGGGCCGTGTCTCCGAAGGAACCCCAACGTCCCTGAGGCACCCGCAGCTGATGTTCGGAAGGTGAACGAAGGTGAGGAGGGGCACCACCCCGGTCTGACTCCACTGCCTTCCTGGGAGTTGAATTTCCTACCCTGCCTGGCAGGCCCGGGAGCTGTGGCATCCTCTGGTGGCTGTGGTGCCTGGAGCGCCCTCCCCACTAGGGCAGTCTGGAGGCTAGTGGTGGCGGTGACTCTGCTTTGCGCTGTTGGGCAGGGGCTGAGAATTCAAGCTGCTCTCACGGTGCCGTGGCCTTGGAGGTGCTGATCGCTTGTTGTGTCAGTGTTTGTGGGGCGGAGGCGGGGTGGTGAGGTCACCAGGTTAGACTGGCTCGTTGTGTCAGTGTTTGCGGGGCGGAGGCGGGGTGGGGAGGTCACCGGGTTAGACTGGCTCGTTGTGTCAGTGTTTGTGGGGCGGAGGCGGGGTGGGGAGGTCACCGGGTTAGACTGGCTGGGAGGTGGCCAGCTGCGTGCTCAGCAAATAACGCGGTGCTGCTGTTGCAGATGTTCTCGGGGGTGTACGTGCACTCCCTGCAGGCGGTGCTGTCAGACAGTGACATCGCAAAGAGCTTCCACAGGATGGGGTATGTGAAGAGAGACGACCATCACCTCGTGGTGTCCCAGCCACCCCCGGGAGCTGAGCTCGTCCAGGCTGCCTGCAGCTTCTTTGCAGCAAGGGTGGAGTGTGAGATCCTGGGGGAGATCCTGTGGCAGCTGGAGCCATGCCAAGTGTCTGCTGAAGACCTGCTCCAGGTGCGGAGGGGCACCAAGGACCTGGACGGCTGTGTGGAGAAGCTGCGGAGACTTGCAAGATGGCCGAAAGGCAGAGAGCCCAGAGCCAAGGTGGCTCCTGGCTGTGCTGAAAGCATTGATCTCTATGGGGAGGAGCCGAAAAGCCCAGCGGCTGCGACCCTGTACGGTGACCCCATGGGAGCCAGGCTGCAATCATCCCTATGGGGTTTGTCCTCCCAGGAGCTACACAGGCCCCCCAACCTGTGGGGTGAGGCTGTTGGAGGACCTGGTCCTGAGGATCTCGGGGGAAATGAGGGAAGGATCTGGGACAACCGGAGGGCTAGTGAGTCTGGCCAGGAGCAGCCTTATAGAAATGAGCCCGACTCAGAGGCTGCCGCCTTCTCTTTTATCTCCTTAAGAGGGGCGCTTAGCAGGATCAGTGACTCGGGCTCTCCTGAGAACATGGGGAGCACAAACCCTTCTCTGAGCTCCCCCTCTGACACTGCAGTGCTCGAGTCACACGAGGCAGCCAGCTGCCTAAGGCCCCGCTCTGCTGGCAAGGTTATGCCCTCGGAGTGCAGAGCTGCCAGCTTCTCGCCCCAGCCTGCAGAGAGACCACGGGAGCTGCCGCCTGCTGCCCCATGGCTAGAGAGCAGCGAAAGGGAAGTGCTGGAGTTACCGTGCTACCAGCTGCATTCATGCCTGGTCCGAGGTGCTCTCCCCTCCTACTGCTGTGCCACCTGCTGCCTGCTCCACGCCAGCTGCTGTGATGCCATGCAGACCTGCAGGAGCAGCCACTGCATGCAGGAGCTGCAGAGCGAGGAGCGGAAGCGCCTGTGGTTACAGAGGACCGAGGTGGACATGCTGCTGAACGAAGGCTCTGGGGCTCGGCCCTAGCTACGGGACGAGCTGCCTCCCCAGTGCCTGCAAATGCTGTGGGATGTGTCAACCAAATCCTACCTCCGGGGGAAGCATCAGGACTTGCCTGATGCCACCCGGTTCTGTTCTAGGGGACGCCTCTGATGGCGGCGCTCATTTCCTCCCCCCACCCCGCTACAGCGGTGCTCTGTAGAGACTCGCCCCAGATCCTCCCCTGCTGTAGCTGCCCTACATTCAACACTATTACTCTTCCCTCCCACCTCCTGTGAGCCAGTTCCAGGGATTGGCCTCCACTGTGGCTCTGGCATGATCTCCTGGCCCTGTTTAGTCACAGCTCTAGCATCCCTCTGCCAGAGGAGCTGGGGCCTCTTAGCTCACAGGCTTCTCAGGACCTAGGTAAGGACAAGGAGAAACGAGAGACTTGCTCTTTTTCAAGCGATTCCCTTGAGTTGGTGGAAGGATGCTGCTCTGTAGCATGGCCCATGTGGACAGCTCTGCCCCTGCTCCAGGAGAGAAGCACCGACGAACTGTCCACCAAAGGCCAGCCGTGAGAGGAGAGAAGATGGCTTGGGGGAAGATCTCGTGCTGTTTCCCAGCTCATGCTGGTCCTACCCATTGCTGCTCAGGCTGACTGGCCTTAGGGTCTGGGTGGGACAAAAGGTGCCCAGGGGAAGAAGTGTCTGGGTTTCTGGCAGTGGGCGTTTGAGCTAGAGCAGCTTTTGCCCCAGACTGACGGGTCAGAAGGAAATGACAAACGCTTTGAGCATCTGCCCTTTATTGGGTGATGTCTCCTGCACCCTGCCTGCCTCAGCTGCTCTGGGCGAGTTCACAGCCTTCAGGGAGTTAGCAAGCTAGGCTCTTGCCCTGCAGTATTCCCTAGTACCAAATCCCTGTCCTCAGGAGCGCTGTGGCACTCTGGGTTCTCCAGAATCAATGGTTGCTGGAGCTTTGGAGGAAGGGTTACACTGTTAGTCCCCCGGGTGCAGTGCATTAGGAGTTCCCTTGTCCTATGGCTGATGCTCCAGCTCCTTGGTCAGCAGAGCCTTAGGCATTCAGTTACCATCTCCCCAGGGCTCAGATCTGATGGCTCAGGACTCTACTCCTTCGCCTAGGTCACTGCTTGCACCTTTCCTGGGAAGGTGGGGAGTGCTTTGGGGCAGAGCAAAGCTTCTCCCTCCCGCATCAAGGGTTAAGTGGAGTGGGCACTGGCTCCTGGAAATGACAGCCTATCCCCTCCCCATGTGCACAACCCAGCTGGAAACTCAAAGGCAGCAGAATGCTGGACCCAGGAAAGCCAAAAAGGGAGCTGCCTGCTGCTGTTGCCTGGGGGGGCATGTCCCCCTCTTGCAATGCTGTTTAGAGCAGCACTGCCAGGGCTCCCGGCTCAAACTCAGGGAGGGGAAGCTGAGAACACTGGGGGTGGCCCCCAGTTTCAGGGTGAGGTGGCTGGAATCAGTGCCAACAGCCAGGCACTAAACAGCCACCCTGAAAACCCACCCCAGGTCAAATCCAGTGGTGATGAGTGCTGTACCTTCCAGGGCACGGGGAGAGTGTGCAATAGGATGGCACCCGTGCCTTGCAGCTGGCCCACTGTCAGTCTGCACTGGCCAAGTACCCCAGCTCCTCTGGCTGGGTAAGGCCCCCTTCCCAACTCAGCTCTTGCTGGTAACCCTCACCTCACCTCAAAGAAAGAACGTTGTCTATCACCTCCACAGTTACCTAATAAAGTGTTTTTCTTGCTAGCCTGGTATTCTGGCTCCCGGGCAGGGTGTGGGAGCAGGAACAGTCTGAACTCATCCTATGCCACACAAATTCCACCTGCCCATTACCAGTGGCTCTTGCTTCAGACTTTCATGTCCTTAACACGCTAATGTCGGTGGCTCATTAGCCGAGGGCGATCTTGTTAAGAAGCTCCAGGCGATGCCGTAGAGGGGAAGCTGTGGCTACCCAAGCTGCGGAGGGCGCAGTGTGTCACAGCAGAATGAGTCAGAAGCCTCGAGATCTCAGCACAAGACAAGCAGGATTGGCTCAGGCCCCTGCTGAGGTAGCACAGTTACTGGAGGAAGTGATGTCGCTGCTGCAGTACACGGGGAGAGCACCAAGCAGTGCCCCTCACCTGCAGCTGGGCTGGGAATGTCTGTCACTGTGGCCCCAGGGTGCTCGGTGGGGAGGGGGGAGAGTTCGGAGCTAGGTCGCTACATTGTGCTTCCAGGACTCTGCGCTCCCCGTCCTGTGCAGCGATAAGTGACGGGAGAGCTGTGACACCCAGAAAGGGCTCTGGCTGAGACACGCTACACACAGCAGCCATTCCTCCCTGGGGCTGGCCCGGCTGCCTGGGGTAAACAAGCTAGCTGGCCAGGAGAGCAGCTCTGCAGGACTATCCATTACAGCTGACACTAACACGACATTTTATTGAGGGCAGGATCACATGAACCACAATGAGGAACAAAGAACCAAGGGACTTTTCTATCAACAGTGAGCTGGGCTAGGTCTGCAGTGCAGCTTGTAACAAACCCAGCAGCCATTCAGGGGCGGCCGGCACCTCTTGCCCCTGGCTGCCCACCTAGGGTTCAAGGCTCCTTTCAGCCCATAGGAAGGTGTTCCCACACTGCCCTTTCCCTGGAGCTTCTGCCAGCTAGAAGGATCCAAGCCCAGGGGCTGGTGATGGGCCAGCCGCCATGAAGGATGCGACTGGCACTGGGGGGAGAGGGACCCAGGATAGATACTAAGTTTGCTCTGACTGCTCTCTTGGTGCAAAGATGATAGAACAATCCACAGCCCTCGAGCGTGTCTCCAGCAGCTGCATTTGAGTGGAAGTTCGAGGTACTGTCGTCCTCGCCAGCGCTGGACCACCCTGAGAATATCGACAGGTCAAGAGGAGCTTGTACTGCGTCTGCCTTGGGTCCGATAGCAGGTAGTTACGAATCCTTCAGCTCCCAGCGCCTTCTCATCCTCTGTTTTGGATGTTCCCTCTATCCGCATCTTTGTCCAAACCTTAAGCAGAAGAACACCCGTTGAGGAGTGGGAGTGAGCAATCACAGACTGGCTGAGGCTGTTCCACTGTGGAGAACACCAGCTTCTGGGGAGTAGGGTGGGAACTTAGGGGCCTCCAAAGCAGGGCCTGAGCCGTGTGGGGCATGGGAGAGGCAGCAGAGCTGGGCCCCGGGCTGGGAGTGCTGCAGAGCTGGGCCCCGGACTGGGAGTGCTGCAGATGGCATGCTCACTCGGGCAGCGAAGAGCACCCCCAGCGCATGGCGACACGTGCAGCCTTTGGGCGTGAGAGTCTGCACATAAAAACAAACTAAACTTCCCAGGGACTGAAGAGGCAATAGGACGGAGCGGGTGCCTTCCAGGGCGAGAGCAGTACATTGACTGGGAGGTCTGTTCCCCCACTCACAGATGGGGCTGTGCCTCTCCCAGACAGGCCAGTACACCAAGGCTCCTCTCCTGGCAAGTAACTGGGGAAACTGGCTCCCAGTCTGTCCTCCCAACAGGAGCTAGGCTCCAGTCTTTTGCAAGCAGTTTAACCTGAGAATCCCGGGACAGAAAGTGAAGTGGGGCAGCCCGTTAGTGCTGTGGCCTCCAGTCACCTGTGGTTCTGTCCAGTCCTCATCACAACCCCTTGTCAGCTGTGAGAGTCTCAAGCCAGGAAAGGCCCAAGGGCTGGAATAGCAGGTAGTGCTGCTTGGGAGGCTGCAGGTCAGGGCTGGGGCAGGGGCTTCTGCCCTGCACTTTCTAAGCACTCAGTTCATCCTGAATTGAGAGGCGTATCCTCCCCCGTCACGTTACTGAAGGGCTGGGTCACTGCTGGTCCCATTCCAGGGGAGAGAGAAGATCGTTCTTACCTGGCAGAACGTGCAGCCTCAGGGCTTGCCGCGCTTGCCCTGGCCCTCCGCCCCGGCACTGGCAGGAGCGGCTCGCTTGTTGCGGTGGTGGGGGAAGGTGGGCATGAGCTCCGGTTCACAGGCTGGGGAGAAGGGGAGAGGAAATGAGTCAGGAAGGGCTCAGAGTCCCGTAGGCTCCAATGGTGCAGAGGAGTCACTTACGCAAGGGCTTTTCTTTGAAGTAGGAGCTCTCCAGGCAGTCT